CCTCCTGTTGCAACTCTCTCTCTTTAGTTGCCAAATCATATTTAATAGTGTGAAATTGACTAACGTCAATTAGTTCAAGGGCACGATTCTGAGCGTCTCTTACCTCCTCTTGCTTTTTACGCAAGGGGACTCGGAGCCCGTCCACTCTCAGCATCACCTATGGTACCAACCGGAAAAGGAGTTGGAACTAATGATGATAATTACTACTCATCCGGAAAAAGCAGAGCTTGAGACAAGCATAGGGCATTCGGGTTATTTACCTCAGCAAGAAGAGAGTTGATGCGATCCAGGTTAACCTGGTGTACAGCCGGCACCGCCTCCTTTTCAGAACGGGTCAGAGTCTTGACCATTCTCTTGGCGTATTGGTTGTAGTCGGGCCGGCTGGTAGAGTCATCTGCAAAGGAAGGGTTATCTGTCAGATACTGGGCATAGGCGCCGCCTATATTCATGCGGCTGCCAGAGGAGCCCCCAGACTGGCTTGCTTGAGTTTTGACTCTCATATGCCCAAGCGGCCAGGGGGGGTCAAAGGCAGAGGTTTTACCTTGTTCAGGCTGTGGGGTGCCATCCCCCCCAGCCGCATCTGAGCCAGATCCCATCCGGGTCTGGCCCGCCGAAGCACTCGGCGTTAGCTGCAGGCTCTTCCCTGCAGTGGTTGGCCTGGCAGGGTCAGACGTCCTCTTTGCAGGACTAGCTGCCAAAGGTGGACCCGACAGCCTTGGAGCTTTTGAAGCCGGCTGGGGTATCACACCAGCCGGTCTTTTGTGCATGCTTGCTAGTGATTTTGGCATGCCTTGGGTTCCACCCTGAAAATAGTCAAAACAAAGCAATCAGTTAGAAACAAAGGCAGCTCATCATATGTCATCCGGTAAGAAATGGAAGAGGTTTTACTCCAGCATTCTTGGCGGCCAGTGCCGCCTTCTTCTCTTCGATTTGCTTCTTTCTCAGCTCAATAGCTGAGAAGGCAGGTGTCTTTTCAGGAGGCACCATTCTTTTAGCTTTACCTGCAAAAATGGGAAATTCGAGTTAGAGCGTGTACGCATAATCAGACGTCAGAATACCGGATGGGTTAATGAACCTACTCTTTTTAAACATTGAACTTAGATTGCAAAGGGACAAGAAGGACTCGTCCCTGAACCATTCCGGGAGGGGTACCCAGAACTTTGGGACGATGATTTCACTACCGTCCTCCATCAGATGGGTCGTTTTGAGGAAGAGACCCGTCTCCATTATTTGGTCCCAGGCCTCAGACGACACTTTCGGGAGCGCGCATTTTTTGCCCAGCAATGCCGGGTGCTTATTATACCGCCGCAGCCGGTGATTTAGGGAAGTGGAAGGAGAAGAGACGACATAAAATTTGCTCTTCCAGTTGGTCCACTTTGATGGCTTCTCCAAAGTCATCATGTATTCTTGGTTGGTGGTAAGGGTGTACCAGGCATTCCACCCACCCGGAGCCCGGCTGAGGTAATGCATGTGTGCAAAAGCCTCCCAACTGGGGTTCACCTCCTGCAGCTCACATGCGGCAATGTACCCCAAAATATTGACCCAAGAGTTAGGAGTCAATTGCCATACGCCCAAGTCATACCCCAGCAATATGTCCTTGATGCAGGGGTGAAGGGGGAACCAGAGGCCTGCTTTGAATGCCGCCTCATAACAGCCGAAAAATTCATCGGCATGGTCCAAGTCGTCCGTCCATACGACGGCTGCATTAACAGGCGGGACTCTTATTTCCCAGTCCTTCCCAACTGGTTTCCTTTTAAAAAGAAAGGCAGGAAGGGTTGCAGAAAGGGTGACCACGTCTCTTGCAGACATGGTCATGTCAGTCGGATCCCCCTTAGCCGGCCATTTTTAGGCCTCCTCAACAATAGGCTCAGCCTCCTGTGCAGGGGCTTCAGATTCGGACCCAAACCCTTCTCCAGCAGATTCATCGCCGGATCCTTCGGCATTAGAATCAGAGTCTTCTAATATGCTGTCACCCGGTGTGCTCGGACCACTCGGGGAATCTTGACGAGTCCCCAGGGTTTCTTCCAAAGGAATTTCACCAGACGGTCCTGCCGTCTGGTCCTCGTTTCTGGGATCAGCCAGATCTTCGGCTGCGTCGTCGGACTTGTAATCCGGGTCAACTGCCGTCCATCTTATCCGAGCCATTCTGTCCTGCACATGAACAGAGACGGTCGGATTCGAGGTAGGTGAAGGTTCGCCCAAATACCCCCAGACGGCAGTCCCAGTCCTAGACTCAGCCGTGCCTGGTGACCGCCTGACAGCAGTCGTAGGCTGTGCCGAGTGTATAATTGAAGGGTCCATATCCTATCTATGCAACCGAAAAATTAACAAACAGAATTGAAAAAGGGTGCAGACGGTACCTTTGGAGGTTGGAATTTGCTGAGATGGTGGCTTGAAACCTACACAGGCGGAAATCTCCGAATGTGTTTGAAGCTGAAATAAAGAAAAATAGATCAGACATGTTTACTTGGAAGCTCATTTAAAATCCCCCCAAGCGGTGGAGTCCCGGATGAGGGTTAGCAGAGATGGGCTGGAAATAGCTCAAGCGACCCCCATACGGTTGAAAGCCGGATGGGGGCAATTTGAAACAATGTTTGAGCCAAGGCTGCTCAAATGACCCCCATACGGTTAAATGCCGGATGGGGGCAATTTGAAACAGTTTTGAGCCAAGGCTGCTCAAACGACCCCCATACGGTTAAAAGCCGGATGGGGGCTATTTGTATGTTTGAGAAAAAGCTAAAGGCTGCTCAAACAACCCCCATACGGTTAGACGCCGGATGGAGGCAATTTAAACAACGTTTGAGAAAAAGCCAAGGCTGCTCAAATGACCCCCATACGGTTAAATGTCGGATGGGGGCAATTTGAAACAGTTTTGAGCCAAGGCTGCTCAAACGACCCCCATACGGTTAAAAGCCGGATGGGGGCTATTTGTATGTTTGAGAAAAAGCTAAAGGCTGCTCAAACAACCCCCATACGGTTAGACGCCGGATGGGGGCAATTTAAACAGCGTTTGAGAAAAAGCCAAGGCTGCTCAAACGACCCCCATACGGTTAAAAGCCGGATGGGGGCAATTTGAAACAAAGTTTGAGCCAAGGAATCTCAAACGACCCCCATACGGGTAAAAGCCGGATGGGGGCTATTTGTATGTTTGAGAAAAAGCTAAAGGCTGCTCAAACAACCCCCATACGGTTAGACGCCGGATGGGGGCAATTTAAACAACGTTTGAGAAAAAGCCAAGGCTGCTCAAACGACCCCCATACAGTTAAAAGCCGGATGGGGGCAATTTGAAACAAAGTTTGAGCCAAGGAATCTCAAACGACCCCCATACGGGTAAAAGTCGGATGGGGGCTATTTGTATGTTTGAGAAAAAGCTAAAGGCTGCTCAAACAACCCCCATACGGTTAGTCGCCGGATGGGGGCAATTTAAACAACGTTTGAGAAAAAGCCAAGGCTGCCCAAACGACCCCCATACGGTTAAAAGCCGGATGGGGGCAATTTGAAACAAAGTTTGAGCCAAGGAAGCTCAAACGACCCCCATACGGGTAAAAGCCGGATGGGGGCTATTTGTATGTTTGAGAAAAAGCCAGGGCTGCTCAAATGACCCCCATACGGTTAAATGCCGGATGGGGGCAATTTGAATGATGTTTGAGAAAAAGCCAAGGCTGCTCAAACTACCCCCATACGGTTAAATGCCGGATGGGGGCAATTTGAAAGATGTTTGAAAGCAAAGGTTGATCAAACCACCCCCATACGGCTAAAGGCCGGATTGGGTTACTTATGACTAGTCTGAATAAAAACAAAGTTGGCTCAAAGGGGTCCCATGCGGCACAATGCCGGATGGGAGTATATTAAACATCCCAGACGGCAAAACGCCGGATGAGGGGGATTTTTGGACTTGTCCCAAGCCAGCCCCATGCGGCAAAATGACGGATGAGGGCATTTTACAACTAGGGAAATATTTCAAAAACCTCACACGGGAAATCCCGGATGAGGTAGGGGTAATTCAGAAATTTTGGACAAAATATACCCAGGCGGCAAAATGCCGAGTGAGGTCCTTAATCTAGGGGCAAAAAGAGGGAGAAAGCAGACGGTACCTTACTAAATCCGCACTCAGCCGGAAGGCAGATGTCAAGTTCTTGCGAAAACCGGATGCTCGAAAGTCTTGAAAGAAGCAGCCGGTATCAGAGCTTCTTCTCAGGAAATTTTTGAAAATTTTTGAAAATAAAAAGTGCGGAGGAAAGAGGTAGCCACCCTACTTATAGAAAGAGGCAGAAGGCGAACAGTCACCTTCTGCACGAAAATTTGAAATTCAAAAAAAAGAGGGGGGAAGCAGACGAACCGTCACTTACCCCATGCACCCTACGTCTGTCACAGATGACATGTGAGTTTGCCACATCTCACCTGTGAGGGGCAGATGTTTAGGGTGAAAATACCCTAAGACACGTGGCCCAATAAAGGCTTGACACGTGTCAATCTTTCAACGGTCTGCAAAGGCCCAATCCCTTTGCGACACGTGTCCCTTATACCCTAATTGAGGTACAGTTCTCCCTTACTATAAATAATAAGGGTAGACCTCATTTATGAAAAACACACATTAATTGCAACCACACAAAAAACAAACAAAGCCCAAACCTACTGAAACGCTCTCGAACCGAGAAGCTTTTATTGTTCTTATTCCACTTCGAAAAGATACTAACTTAATCTTCGGAGGCGGAACTCCCACCCCCATCCGGAGTCTCCGTTACTTGTGCAGGTACAGGCGTAAGAAGGAAGTCTGCTAGGAAATTGTAACTCTCCCGAAGGACATAAAATACCCCCAAACAACTAGTATGATTGTATGACACAATCCTGCATAGCACGGCAAAAAAGCTAAGCACAAGTGAAACTTGGCTTTAAGCACACATGATTGGCACAATGACACGTGGGCTTGGGTTGTGCACGGGCCAAACTTTTGAAAATTTTGATATGACACAACACATAGTTCAAGAGTTAGGCCTAAAGCACATGAGCTCGACACAAGGCACAATCTAGTGATCTATCTACAACCATATTGGTATTATCACCTTATTATCTCTGTTATTGATATGGTTGATGCTTGATAGTTCTGTTCTTTTAGATTAAATTAGAAAGGTACACAAAATATTATATTTGGAGGAAAAAAAAAAAAAAACTTGATACGCCGTGAAGTATATGCCATAATTATTACGAATATTGTATTTTCTAAGCCACATAAATAGTGTGATTACATTTGGACGGCGCTCAAAGTTTTTGGTCAAGTCTCTAAGTCATTGCAATAGCGGCTCCTTGATTTGTTTCCATGTTCCATAACGTTCATATCCCGCTAAAAATACAAGTAACTCATCATTTCATGGTTCAACAAACATAAATTTCTGTAAATCAACCATATATATACTCCTACAAAAAAGAAACACATATAATTTTCCTATATTTCATGGCTTCCTATTGCTATCTTCTACACTTTTCCTACATAACTTTGGTCATTTTCTTAGCCGTTTCTTTGTGTAATGGCCAATCTCCACAATATGCAGCATGCTCTTTGAAGTACTCATGCGGGGAGGTCCAAAATATTGGGTACCCATTTTGGGGAGATAATAGGCCTAAATTTTGCGGGGATCCAAATTTGAAGCTCATTTGTCGCAACAATTCAAAGTACCCTGTGTTGAATGTATTTCAAGGTCATGCTCATAGCTACATGAAGTTTAATGTTAGCGCCATCAACATGTCTTCCCACACCATGGTTGTATCCCAATATGAGCTGCTCGATCATTGCTATTCGGATTCGAGTAATAGAGCATTATCTTATTCCACATTATTGAAGCCAGCAAGTGGTTATAGCAACATAAGATTATTCTATAATTGCAACAATTGTAATGTAACTCAACACAATTCTTTTAGTTGCAATAAAAGCAACAGCGATTTTATTGGTTATAACAACTCCTTTGATGCTGCTTATTACTTTGGTAAGAAAAGGTTGTGCTCTTGTCGCAATAATTTTACTTTTGTGGTGGATACAAAAGTGTTGGATGAACTTAAAAACACAAATGCCTCTCTGTTAACTACCTTTGAAAACAATCCAACAATTGAATTAGAGTACACCGCGAACTTCACAGCCTGTTCCAAGTGCGAAGAGTCTGGTGGCAGGTGCGGATCATCAGGGGATCCATCTGAGGATAAGTTTGTGTGTTACTGCCAAGATGGACCTCATCAGTCACTCGTGTGTCCGAAATCAGGTACTTCTATTTTAGTATATTAATTAGTCCTCTTCATCGCGATTTATTTATAAACTTAGCACTAATCTGACAGCAACAAGAATATCACTGTTATGTACTTAAGTTGTGTAATTGCTGCAACTCAAGCAGCAGAAATCAATACATTATATGTTTGCCTAATTGCCTGTTTTTAGCATGCATCTGTAGTAACCCAGCCAGGTTATTAATGACTGATATGAGGTTATACCAGCACTTACCTAGCGCGTTTTCTTAACAAGTTCATATTCATTACTACTCCGTAATACATAGCTCGATCTATGTTGCCATATTGACATTACATTTACTTATTTGCAGAGAAGAAGGAAATTGGTACAGCTAATCATCAAACGAAAACGAATCAAATTATCATAGGTAAATTAAACGTTCCCTAAATGACTGAATTAGCCAATTCCATATATTCTTAAGCTGTACTCTGTATCTTGATATTAATTTAACCAATGATCAGGCATGGGAGGAAGTTTACTTGTTCTTGTAGTAATATGCATAGCCATTTGGCATCGGAATAAGAAGATGTCTGATCATATGAAGTTCAGAACTCGGAGTGCCTCTCTTGACAGTGATGCATCAGACCTCGAATTCGGAAGCAAATTCTTTGGCGTGCCACTCTTCTCCTATACTCAACTTGTTGAGGCCACTGCAGATTTTGATCAATCCAATGAACTTGGCAGTGGTGGCTTTGGAACTGTTTATTATGGTAAGCATGAATTTGCATCAGTCTTACAAAACATCTTGTAAAATCCGATAATTTCATAATAATATAATACATAAATGAACCTTTCATCAACATATTCAAGGTGAAGAGAACAAAGCCTTACGTTATTTAAAACTTATTCGGTCTGTCTGTAAAATGAGCCCGAGTAGCCCTTACACTAATAAATGAATTGTTTTACCTGTAGGGAAGCTAAAAAACGGAAGAGAAGTCGCGGTAAAACGCCTTTATGAGAAGAACTACAAAAGATTAGAACAGTTCATGAACGAAATACAAATACTCACTCGTCTAAGACACAATAGCCTTGTGTTACTCCACGGCTGCACTTCCCATCACAGCAGGGAACTCCTCCTTGTATACGAGTACGTGGAAAATGGAACCGTAGCTGATCACCTGTATGGCAAAAACAAAAAATCAGGATACCTTCCATGGCCTGTTAGACTGAGAATAGCAATCGAAACAGCCACTGCCCTTACCTACCTCCATGCTTCAGACATCATACACCGCGATGTCAAAACTAACAACATTCTCCTTGACAGCAACTTCAGTGTCAAAGTTGCTGATTTCGGGCTTTCTAGACTCTTCCCAGCTGATCAAACTCATGTGTCAACAGCACCACAGGGGACTCCAGGGTATTTAGACCCGGAGTACCACCAGTGCTATCAGTTAACAGATAAGAGTGATGTTTACAGCTTCGGAGTAGTCCTCATCGAACTCATCTCTTCCTTGCCTGCAGTTGACATGGAAAGACACAGACTCGAGATCAACCTGTCTAACTACGCAATGAACAGAATCCAACGTTGTGCAATCGATGAGATAGTAGACCCACAACTCGGGTTTGCATCAGATTTCAAGGTCAGAAGGATGACTATTTTGATGGCAGAACTCGCGTTCCAGTGTCTGCAGCATGATAAGGTATTCAGGCCGTCGATGGATGAGGTTTTAGAGGTTCTTAAGAAGATTGAAAGCGCAGATTATGAAGCATTGCAGGCAGAGGAGAATAGGAGATGACCAATAATGATGCAGAGGAAGTTGTGAAAATGCACAATATTAACCCACCATAGTCTTCCCCAACAGAAGATGATCATGCACAGCTGTTAAGTAATAATCTTCTAAATCTGTCTTCGCCGATCTCAGTGATTAATAAATGGGTCAGTGGATCTACTATATCAAGTAGAAGCAAGTAAATTGGAATCATTTTTAAAATAAAATTGTCAAAAAAACTGACCAACTGTAGTTTGGGTGCAGAAGACGCTTTAAATTACATGGGTGTACAAGGCAACATCAACTATAGTGGTTAGTGCGATGCGCCTAATGACATGTTATCGACATTATTTTTGTTAAATTCTTGGGAATATATGTTTAATTAGGCACAGACATTGCTATATCAATTAAATGCAACCTTTTTGAGTTATTTAAACTATTTACATACAAACTTTGACCTTATTTTTTAATAAAAGAAATATCTTCGCAAATCTATACTCCTGTCTATAAAGTTTTTACAATTTTAAGAAAAACCATAAAAAAATTTGGTATTAACATGCATTTTGAAGAGTACTAGACTTGATAAGTTATATAGTTATACTTTTCCATTATATTGACAATGTCGTGTACTTCTATATATATAGTCATAATCTCCATCAACCACCAGCTATGATTAATAATTAATCAAGGCTTATTTTTAATTCATTTAACAATTCGTTAATTTAACAAAATCAGAAATGAAATTAAAAAATTCAAAGTATACTTCTATACAAAAATAATATAAGAAGTAAACGCAAGATTTTAATCAAAAAGGCCGGCCAGAATCAAATGTGTTTTGCATTGTGGAATTGATTTTTATAATTTTAATGCGTTGCATTGGGCTAGCTACATTAAAATATATAATTATTGTTGTAATATTCTTTAATTATTCAAATCCATGAGTTTAAAATAGTTCACTAAGATTGACCTCAAACATGAAGAAGATTATTGCTAAGAAGTATTGAGGTGTCTAATATAATAATTTACTAGTTGTTTGATTAGATATAAGAAGTATAATTCTAATGATTTTGAAATGTACATACATAAATTTCAATATCGAAATTTGTTTTGGCTAATAAATTTCCTAAGAAGAATTTCAAGCGATTACCATAGGGAATTAGATAAGCAATTTCACATAGTCTGGTGATCGAAAAGTATAGTTTTCTAGACATTAGTACATGTTTAGGTGTTAAACTCGACTCAACAACTTTAATGAAATTTATCAATATATTTAGTTCAACATAAAATATCAAGGGACTGTATATATTGTCGTTGTCGTAATAGAGTGAAAAACAAGGGATAATAGTCATTACATTTCAACCCCGAAGTTTGAACCTTACGTAATCAATTTTTAATTGCAAAATAATCAAACACTTTGTTCTAAAGAGAAAATGAAAGCCACTAAATGGAGTTTTGGATTGGGTCCCGTTAAAATGTGTTTAGGATGGTAGGTGACTTGTGAGTGTTGCGACTCTTGTGCCTTGAAGAGAAGGCAATTGGTAGATTCCCTACAATCTTACATTCTTACCTATCAACTTGCAATAATGTACAATGCAAAGGATTTATTTTAATGTAGTAACGGTAAAGTATTTGGTTTTATTACGGGTCGGTTCACATTTATTTAATTTAATTTCAGTTCAGCTCCAATTTGTTTAGTTCAGTTTAATTCACTTTCAGCTCATTTCGCTTCGGCTCCTAATTTCCTTCTCTCATAAAATATTCATTTCAATTTGGTTCAGTTTAGTTCAGCTCGTTCAGCTCCAATCAGTTCAGTTCAGCTCATTTCAGTAAAAGTGAACATGCCATTAATATGGTCCTATTTGACAAAATTAGGGATAGCGGCGCGGGTAATCCCTCTTTCCCTAAATTACATTCTTACTTCTCTTAATTATGTGATTTAGGGACGGAGAGAGTATTTTTTAACGGTCGAGTAACGCGTAGTTGTTAGAATAGTGAGTAGCTGTTAATAGTATAGTGTTTGATAAAACTAACTTTAAGATATTTATGTAACTAGGTTAGCTAAGCTAGTTGCTGATTCTACAGGATCATTCTTTTTCTTTTCTTTTTTTTTTTTTGGAGGGAAGATCATTTTTCTTATTTGGTTATACATAAAATATTACCCGTCATTCTTCTAAACAATAGCATGAAGTTAACATTTTCAATCCCCTAAAGAAAAAAGTTAACATTTTCAAATCAATATTGTGTTTGAGATCATTAAAAAAAAAATGTTAAAAAGGTGATTAATTTTGGCGAAGGATAATTACACAAACTCCGTACTATATGAAGAGCGTGTGAGAAATACATTATGTATGTTCGTAACATTTTGTGGAAATTTTTGCTTCATATTCTTCAAAAATAGGGTAAACAATAAATTGACCTATAAAGGTGGGTCTATTAGTGGGAATAATAGTCTCCGTCGTGGATCAAGCAAATTTCAATTACTATAGCATTTTCAAAATTATTATTGTGGCTTGAAGTTAATAAATTGTCAAAGAAAAATGATATACATAACTCTGTCTATATATATAAGGAACTAAAAATAGAAAAAAAAAACATATGAAAATATAATATTAAATTACACTGATTTACGTGTGATTTTTATCATGTATTTCTAAATTAATACCAAATTATAAAAGATACGGAGTATTAAATAATTGTTCTTACCCAGGCTACATATAGTATTTTCATAAGTAACGAATAAAAATTGTGTATTGACATGTCTGAAAGATAAAAATAACCCAACTTTTAATAAATATAGAAGAAGGTATAATCTAGTTAGAATTGACCCTCTAATTTCGAAATTATTGATTTTAACATGAATTGACATGTCATTGACGTTGTAATTTAGACCCTTTTATCTAATCAAAATTTGATTTAACAAGCAACAACTCCAATATGGTGGGATTGTGCAAATGGGGTTGGGTCCATTGTTGACCAAATCAAATGCAAGTCTCTATATCTCTCAAATTCTTCAAATGAGCATGATCAAACGCCACCAAACTGCGTGCCCACACGGATGAGATAAAAAAGCCCTCTCTTTTTTTTTTTTTTTTCTTTCTATTTTTTTTAAAAAGTTTTACTTTGTGAACTCACTCCTCAAGTATGAAATATCCCTTTCCACTAATTTGAATTTGACTTAAATTAGATTAAGTAGTAAGGCAATGACCTAATCAATTACCATGCAAACATGTAATACCGTCATCTTTTCTATTTCTCTTACAAAATATAATACTAGAAAAATAGAGAAATGTAAATAAAACATACCCACACACGAATAAAAAAGAAAAGTTTGCGATATTTTAAGAATGGACAGAGTACTATAATATGGTTATCACAAATTTCATGTGTCCAGGTTTCTCGGTTGGTTAAGGGTTAATTATTCAGGGTTACTCGGTCGGTCAAGGGTTACTCACACGCAGATTACGCACTAACCAACTGAGTAGCCCCAGAATAAGTAACTCTTAACCGACTTAAATAACCCCTATATAAGTAACCCCGATGAAAACGCGCTAACTGACTAAATAACCAAGAATAATCTTTGACCGACTGAGGGTCTGTTCACTTCAGCTTAATTTCAACTCAGTTGAGCTCCAATTAAATCAGTTCAACTCGATTTAGTAAATGTGAATAGGCTCTTAATAACCTCTAAATAAATAACTCCTGAATAAATAATCTGGTTTCAAACTACTACCTCCGGTCTAATTTACTCGCAACTTTAGAATATTTTATATCTCACAAATTACGAGTAATTTGGACCAAAAGTAGCATATAATATAGCGAGCCACACACAAAAAGCACCGTATGGTCATTGTTATTTTTTTTTTCCTTCCTCTTGATAAAGCACAGCCAAAACAGCTGTAGTAAACTGTAGTCTTCCAAGTTCCAACTAATCAAACAAAATAGTGGTACTGGTGAATTTAATTACTGCTACAAGCCTACAAAACAATTAATACTCCAAAATAATCTATCACCCACTTTATATTATTATTATTATTTATTTATTTATTTATTAAAAAGGAATCAATAAATAGTTTTTTTTAAAAATGACAAAGTCAAAGTTTTTGGGCAAGTACCCACATCTTTCAGACTTTTCACCATAATTTCTCTTTCCTAAGGTAGCCAGCCAATTTTTCTCTCTCCTCACGAAACCTGAAACCCCTTTACACTGTCAGCTTCAATAATCAAAACCCTTCAACAACTTTTCAATTCATGAAGCAAAATCTCTTTGATCACTAAAATTGTTGCAATTTTTCCTGCAATTTTCTTGGGACGCTTGGAATTCTTTGATTTGGTAAGTTAATTTGTTAATTACCCACATGCTCAAAATTATTTAAAGTATAGATTTTTCACTAATTTTGGTGTTTTAAAGATATGGTATATCAATTTTTTTTGTTTTGGTGATCAAAATTGTATGTTATTGCTTTGATGATGCAGTTTTTGGAAGAATTTTGTTAGTGGGGTTGTTGGGAAAATAGATGTTGATTAATAAAGATAATAGAAGGTGAAGCTGTAGCTAGAATTTTTATGGATAGCTTATGCTGCTTCAGTTCAGTTTCTCAGGTAAGGGTTTAATTTATTTGTGGTATTTGCTCATAATTTTTGTGTTTTATAAGTTTAATAATATTTGTTTCAGTTGTTGTTCTTTTGGCATCTTAATCATAGATATTTAATTATATGCATATACTTGTATGTTGTAATTGGTCAGCAATTGATGAACTATACTGCATGGATCATACTGTGTTTGCTGCTGGATAACAAATTTGTGAACTGTGATGAGTTAGTTTGGTCAATTAGATATTGTTTGTAAGATGAAATCAGATAGTTTTTTGTTTCCTGATTTGGGGGGAAGAGGAGAAACTAATGAGGGGGAGACATATTTTTTGGTAAGAAAGAGTTATGTTCAAATGATTTGATTCGAGAATTGTGAGCGTTGGGTGGTTACTGGTATATTGGAAGGAGTTGTGGAAGATTGTTGAGAGGCTTTCTAATAGAAGATGAAGACTAAGGTCTCTCATGAAGGGTAGAAATTTTTTGGTTCTAACATGAGTGTTTCAGATGATAAAGGGGAATGATCATTGCTTGATTAACATTTTGCCTCCACTGAAGATGAATAGGCCTATCAAAAGAAACTATTACCATCGGAGATTGAATATGGAATATTAGAGCTTGTGATTTATGTCTTGATACATCAAGATTCACCGGCTTGGCCATGGATGAGTCCACTTGATAACTCTTTTGTTGCAAGCTGTGAATTACGAGACTGCAGATATGGCTTAGAAAAGAGAAAATGATATGGTGTGGTGCATCATACTTTTATTTTCTTACGCTGTTGAGGTGACCACGAAATGTGGTTCCATACTGCAGATATAAAGAGTGGACTTGACATTTAGAACTATGACTTATTGCTTGGTTACTTTGTTTTCAAGTTGCGGAGTGATCATAAACTATGGGGAAAACTGTTTGTAAATTTTAAAAACCCCTTAGCATCTGGGAAATCAAGAGATAAAATCACAAAAACTAGAGGGCATTCACATGCATAGGAAGTTTTCATTTTATTATTCAGAGTAACGTAGGCTGATATGGTAGTGTGGAGGGCAAGGGGGATTTGGGTTAGTCATACTACAATATGCCGACGTGGTAGGGGTGTGTTTGCAAGAGAGAGCGGAGGAGGTGATTCAATTGGCTGACATAACTAAACCATAAATGGGATAATTGCTGACAGAAGTTCACTTATCAAATGACTTTGCACTGGAGATTAAACAGGCTGAGATGGCTGAACCATTAACCAAATTGGTTAATCAGTGGGTTTGTTCACTTACTTTTGTACAAAACAGTGCTGAAACAGATATAAGATGACTGTCCACAGTAATGCCTGAAGATTTTTTTTATTAGTTTATGATTTTAATCCCTTGGGAGCTTTCATGTGGATGAACATATAAATAATATTTCTTCTATACAAGATCGGTCTTTTTTGACCTTAGAGCCCCAAGCCTACAAATTTTGACCATTTTTGTTTTTGTTGGAATTGCTGCTTTATATTAATAAATGATAATTTTGTGGAAGTATTCTTTGAAATAATTTGCAACTTGCAAGAACATAAGCCAATGTATGTATTAATAAAATAATGGTCACAGTTAGCAAATTGTCCCAAAATTCATATTGAGGTTTATCTTTGAATGTTGCTGACTATTACCCTTGTGTCCTTATTTACTGGCATCGATGTTTTTTATTTATGAAATAATTCAATAACCAACTGATTAACATACTCTTGTTCTTCTCATATTTGTTGTTTCTCTTTTATACTCTGTATTCATCTTTTTTGCTACAACTTAAACATTCTAAATTTAAGCCCATTAATGAAATTTTTAGTGGATGTTATATGATTACTCTCAAACCTAAAAATGGGATCATATTCCTCATTGAGATAAGATTAGCTTGCTTTGGATGCAAGATGCATCCTTGAATCTCGAATGCATATCCAATTGGCCACTCTTCAACTTACTTTTGTAGATACTTAGTTTTGCTAATATACATATTTGGTAATATTAAACTTAAGCTTTTACATTTCATGTCTTGGAATATATTGAGATTACAGAAATGCATTTCGACAATTAGTTTGTTGCGGTCCTCCCACTAAAACAATTTGCTTTGCAATCTAAGATTGTAGGAGGACGTTCTTATAATGGCTCTGGCAAGGGCAGAAGTCATCAAGGTCCTGCGAAGTATGGATTCAGTTTGGTGAAAGGAAAGGCAAATCATCCCATGGAGGACTATCATGTTGCTAAATTTGTGCAGGTCCGTGGACACGAACTTGGCCTCTTTGCCATTTATGATGGCCATTTGGGTGATAGTGTGCCTGCTTACCTGCAGAAGCATCTATTTCCCAATATTCTCAAAGAGGTGGGTTCTTCATTTTAAGTGTTCAAATGAGAACTTCCTATTTTGGAGCCATGTATTCTACAGGTGTAAAATACATCTGATCTCAGTACTGCAGTGTACTCAAGATGCTAACATATCTGGTTTTATGTTTAATTTGTCAATCAACAGGACGAATTTTGGACCGACCCAAACAGGTCAATTTCAAAAGCCTATGAGAGTACTGATCAAGCCATTCTTAACCACAATCCTGACCTGGGACGAGGTGGGTCAACTGCTGTCACGGCTATTCTTGTGGACGGATCAAAGCTATGGGTAGCAAATGTAGGAGATTCACGAGCTGTCCTTTCTAGAAAAGGTCAAGCAATACAGATGTCTACTGACCATGAACCTAATACAGAACGGGGTAGCATTGAGGACAGAGGTGGCTTTGTGTCGAACATGCCAGGTACATTGGTACTACCAATTGTGCATTCTTTCATTTTCAACTTTGATATCATATGCTCTAATTTTTCACATTGTCTCAACTTATAATAGTTTAGGATTTGACAAGATTTTTTCAAACTACCCTTTCTTAGTCGATCATTTTGAATGAGGGTATCTTGAGAAATCTAATCATACTACATTATGGCTTAGATACCAAAAGAATGATTGTTTTGATAAATGCTTGATTAAACTTGCTTCATTCTTATTTTCTTTTTTCTATTGTGTCCTGAAATGGCGTGATAATGAAGAGGTACCCATAGAATTTAACTATTTTATGGTTTTGCTTAGAATGGCGTTGGCTTAGTGCTATCATCACATTTGACTTGACAGCAGTTCTTAAGCAGTACACCCTTTGCAAGAGACAAACATTCAATTTTCATTCCTACATTTTGGTCAAGATTACATTTCTTACTCCCGTGTGACATAACTCATCATTTTTGTGTTTTATTGCCTTATTGTCTGTCTCAAATCTGCTGATATGTTCTACTGATTGGCTTTTGGACACACGCTACCTAAATAATGGGAGATGTTGCCTGCTGATCTAGCATTATAAACTGAAGTATTCTCTATCTCATCCTTCTAATAGGAGATGTTGCTAGAGTCAACGGGCAACTTGCTGTGTCTCGTGCCTTCGGAGATAAGAACCTCAAGTCACACTTGCGGTCTGACCCTGATGTAAAGCAGGCTGATATTGGCCCTGACACTGATCTTATTATCCTAGCCAGTGATGGTCTGTGGAAGGTATGTACCTCTATATCTGTTGCTTATTTTGCTAGTCTGGTGTCTATCCTCCATAAAGTCACATGCATGCACGCATGTAGCCATGTTATTGTGTGGACATAAGGTGTAGTATATCTAAACTCACCTAGGCTATGTTATTTACCTATAAGTTTTGCTTAAAGGAGAAATATCACTCGGCCTCTAATATCCTTTCACTAAAGAGGGGGGCCATAAATACCTGATGTGGATCGTTGATCGATGCTCTTTTTATTGAAAATCTGATTTGTTTCTAGACTACTATCCATCAACATCTTAAAGAAAAGGGTTGGGAAACAAGTCCATTTCTATGTTATTAGAACATATATCCAAAGAATATGGTGATCCTTCTGCTTACTATTATTAGTCAAATTTTCCTATTTTACTTTCCATAAAATTTGTGTCAATTTTCTAATCATGATGTAGAAGAGCACCTAGTATGACACAAATTCAAATTGATGATAGGGTGGTTATGGATAAGATTAAAAAAGAAGTGGAAGGCATCATTACCCATTTATTTATTGCTTTCTTTCCCTTAACATGACAAATTATAGTAGACAAAGGGAGTTCAATATTTACTGTCGAGAAGTGCTGACTGCTGATCAGTGATTATGTGCTCAGTTGGGTAAAACTGCTTATTAGCTGATGGTTATACCTTACAAACAACTTAGGTAATGTCTAATCAAGAGGCAGTTGATATTGCAAGAAAGATCAAGGATCCGCTAAAATCTGCCAAGCAATTAGCAACAGAAGCTCTGAATCGAGACAGCAAAGATGACATTTCTTGTATTGTAGTCCGTTTCTGAGGATAAATTACTTGTGGATGGAAAAATTTGTACATTCCGGGGGGCTTTGTATAAAAAGCATGGTGATCAAGTTCTACTGATCAATCAGCTTCAGGTTAAAAGGTTCATGGAAATACTTATTACTTTTGAGGTAATCGCTAGCTTTTGCCTTGTATAAAAAAGGGACGGGAAAGATTTATTGGTGTAAGATGGTTGTGTGGTGTTTGATAATTGCAAAGTTTTCTTTTATATATGTAGAATTATAGCCATTTTATCTGTCAATTGTTGTAGCAATCCAAGATCATCTTGAGTCTGAAATTTGTAATAATTCTGAACGTGTGTGCACATTGTTTTCTTTTGATTAGAGATAAAACTCCCTTCTTCAGGCTTTCCTAGTTTCCTGTTTGGCTATGGCCTACGACTAAGCGTGCACCTGGTGCAATTGTGCCCGAGAGGTTTAAAGTTCTAATGCTTACGGTCAAAACATTATGATCGTCGTGCAATTTTGAATTTTCAACTCGGTAGTGGTTACACCCTAGGCTAAGCTCTGTACTAAATTCTTTCTCTCTTATTATGCTTACTTGAAGGTTGTAAATGAATTAAGACTCCTGCCTCATGGTGAATGTCTTGAGCACGCTAAAACATGTTTTATTCGTTTTATGAATCGAGTTACTCGTAACTTTTTACTTTTAATGCTTGCTCGATTATTAAGCTTCAATCTGAGCATAAGGTTTTCAGTGTTTATCTTGATTAGCGATTAAATTAAGCACTTTCTAAATGAGTCAAGGTTGAACAAATTGTTGAGCTTAATTTCAAACTCGAGTTTTGACAAATTACATAAATTTGAACATGTAAAACAGCTTTGCTCATTTATACCCTTAAACTTTTACCAAAGAAGTCATTTTAGTATTGCATCAATATTTAATACGAGTAGTAGGAAGTAATAACTAATATTAATATTCTTTTTTAAGTTAGTTAATTAGAGAAATTATTATGGATACTATAAAGTGGAGGGAAATAGTTGAAGCATTTTGAACATAAACTTTTAAACTTTAATGAAACACTGTATTATACAGAGTATTACTATACAATAAATACTACGCACTCCGTATTTTTTATCAAAAAAAAAAAAAGCATTTAGTTGGGAAAGTCAAGGTGATCTTAACCCATGACACGTGGATAGCCAACCATAGACGTGGCCTACCTTAAAAAACATCACGTGTAAATGTTGTAATTTCTTTTTTTTTTAAAAAAATTACTTTTAACTTTTCTTTCTTTTCCCCGATTTTCTCAACTTTCTAACAAAGACAAATCTCATACATTTTTATTTTTGTTGTTTTATTTCAATCCCATCCCAAAAATCACCAAAAAAAAAAAAAAAAGGAAAACTTAGATTGTATAAATAAATAAACAAGAAGCTTCAAATCATGCGACGAACAAAGGGTTTGATGGCGATAGAAGGAAGTGATAATTATTTATTAGCGAGTGATTTGTTGAATAATATGATGATGGTTATGGAAGATGGTTTTAATAAGAATCCTAACAAAGATGTTTATTATTATACACTTTGTGCTTCTTTTGCTTTGGTTGCCATCATTGCTTTGGTATGCCCTTTACTCCTTTCTCTTTTTTCTTCTTTTGTTTTAATCATTTTTATATTTTTATGTGTAGTGACCACCTCGTGTAGACGAGATAGGGATATCGAAAGAGGTTCAGATGTATACCGTGTTACTCTTAACTAAAATGTTTTATGTAAGATTGATCAATTTCACACGTATGAACAGAATAATGTTATCGGTTTGTCTATGTAAGGTATTGAAATTGATTGATATGCGACATTATTAACATTGATTTAAAGAGAATTAAAGAGCCTTAGTCCCACGTTAAATGATTTCCTTTTATGTTTTGATTTGTCTAGCTTTTGTCGCCTTTTTTACTGATAAAGTGAATAATGCATATTTGTCTATCTATAGTTTTTATTCCACTCATCAATTTCATAGTACTAATTTATACTTTATAGGGATAGTAAATTAATTTGTTTTAGGTTAAATATAATTTGACACCTCATTAAAGGTGATTGATAAGATGAAAGGTTCCAAACTATTACCACTTGAATGAATAGTTTTGTGTACATAATTGAACTCCAAAGGTGTCAAATTCCAAGGCAATTGTATTATTTGGAACTTTCAAAATGTGGTGAAGTGGTGATATGATGCAACACGTACATATAGGTTTTTTTTTTTTTAATTTGACATGTTTTGACTTTTGCACTATGTACCTATGTACTTTATTGGACCGTCATCGGTAATTTTATAAGTATTTTTGACAAAACATAGTCATCATCATAGTATAATTTGTATACATCAATTAATTTCTTACTTATTTATAAATGAACACGTGAATATCAATGTTGTCAAACTTAAAAAAACCGAGGAAGTATTGTGTTATTGGTATACACAAGAAAAAATTGTCACATTTCTTATCCGATCTCCTCTTGGAATGGATTAGCAAGGAGTTAAATAGACATTTTCATATGTAAATGGTTGATGTCATAAGCTCAAAACTTGTTTGATTTAAGAGGCTACACTGCATATGAGTATTCTTAAATCAATAGAGAAAAGCTAGATAATTGCTACAAGTAGTATTTTAGATTGCAATAATTGTTTGCAGGCTGTGTAAGCCTTGTAACGAACTCGAGTTATGCTCCACTGTCTGTTGTTCTGCCTTATGCTTGTGCACTTAAACTTTCTGTCACTAACTTGAAGGTTTTTCAATCAGTAAAATCCTGTTTAAGTCCTTGAGATATGATACGTTAGGATAATGTGATATGAAGTGATTGTATTTGGAACGAAGGAGTTTAATGCAAAATACTCGTATAACTTAGTGAAGCGATTTGGTAATGATAATTGATGATTCCTTATTCACTTCCCCTGTATTGTTCAAGAAAGGTTAGGCTAGTGCTCCATCAACCCGTTCATATATGAAGTTGAATTGTATGAGTACATACTACATAGCATGACCTCAGTGAATGAAGTTTGTGAGTCCTCATGTTTCCTTCTTTTCAAACTTTTGTAGGTGCAACTTATCCGAATACAAATGCGAGTACCAGAATATGGATGGACGACACAAAAGGCCTTTCACTTGATGAATTTCGTTGTAAATGGGTGTAAGCATTGCATTACTATGATGCGTCTTTTGTGTTTTTAATTCAACATCTCGTATCAACTAACTAAACTTTGAGTTAACTTTGGACAGTGAGAGCCATTCTTTTTGGATTGTACAAAAAAGTGTTTCAGATCAGGCCGCATGTAAGTTAGTTTCCTCTAAACGAGTATTTTTCTCCTACAATTATAATGCACACTACATTTAATCTTTTCATACATATGTTGTTTATTCTCTGTTGTAGACTCTTGAACTCGTGCTACTCGATTTCCCGGGACTTCTCTTCTTTTCCACTTACACATTGCTCGTGTTGTTTTGGGCAGAGATTTATCACCAGGTTCCATTCTTTAGATTCTCAGCTGATCTGAACTGCTTATATAATTACCTTATTACCCTATAATTTATCATTTCTGTGAATGTCACCTATGCAGGCAAGATCCCTACCCTCTGACAGACTCAGACCGGCATATTATGCTGTAAACGGGATAGTTTATGTCGTTCAGGTGATCATATTTGATTGATTTATTGAGCAATTCTCCTATCTTTCTCTGATATATAGTAATACGGTGTAGTATAGTATATAGCAACTTTCATGATTATTGTTGATAATTCTTTTGGTTTTGATTTGTTGTGCAATCACTTCAGATAATTATATGGATTTGTATGAGGCTCGTTAAAAGTCATGCAGCTCTCCAGGTGGCAAAACTCTTTTTATCAGGTAATGAAATTGAGAGCTGAGGATTTGTAGTTGTTTGTTACACCTACCGTTTAGACTGTTTCATTGATAATACTAGCATGATTGATACTAATTAAGAACGTTTGGTTGTAGTTTAGGAGAGGTTTCCTGTTGGAATTAAGTCTTGTTATAATTTTGGCCGACTTTAAGCCCAATTTTAAAGGGAAATATATATATTAAGACTGTTAATCTTTCATACGGAGTACATGCTTCATGAAATGGAAGTTGGAATGATAGGACCAAGTTGACATATAGATTCCACTGTTGGTGTATATACATACCTCTCTTTGTGTTGCTTCATCGTTGCTATTGATAAAGACACTCAAGCTATCTGTAACGTATTGTAGTTGGTTATTATTGCAGTTATTTCATTTAGTGCAGCTTCTGGATTCTTGGTATACGGTGGAAGGTATTGATCGATTTTGGACCGTTTGAATGCAGTGACTTTTCAATCTGTTTTGAGAACTGACTTGTTTATTCCCGTCCCATTAATATATGTACTGGTTGATAATCAATTTACAGGCTGTTCTTTATGTTGAAGCGATTTCCTATAGAATCTGTAGGCCGTCAAAAGAAGATCTATGAAGTAATATTTTGAACACAGTAGTATATCTTTACTCTAAATATAGGTTCCGTAAAAAAATTTCTGAGGTAGCAAACTTCTTCTCAGTGTTAGTTGAACTTTTGAGCTTGATGGCTGCAGGTCGGAGTAATAACCGCGATATGCTTCACATGTTTCTTAATTAAATGCTTAGTGGTGAGTATCCAACTTTCAACTTGCTTAAGAACTTTTTGCTTATTTGCTGTTATAATTTAGCATCCAGGTCATCTACCAATGACTACCAAGCTAATCAATGAATTGTATTGTACTTTTAGGCTGCTGTCTCTGCGTTTGATGATGATGTTGATGTTGATGTCGTCGATCATCCTTTAGGAAATCTTCTTTATTACATGGTAGGTAGTTAAACTTTCAGCATTGATGAGATTAATATTATTGGTAGGATGCCATACCAATTTTAATGCGCAGTTGTAATCTTTGGTGCTATCTCCTGACTTGATCACATTTTAGGTGGTTGAGATTGTTCCTTCTGCTCTAGTGCTCTTTGTTCTTCGAAGGCTACCTTCAAGACGCGTTTCGGATCAGTATCAAGCCATCCAATGAAGCGGTCGTCTTATTTTTGGCCTGATGATTGGGGTAATTAAGTCGGTGACAAGATGCAGAAGCCATTGGACAGTCACAGAGTCTAAAATTGCAATTTATTGTCCTCTGGTATAGGAATTAAAAATAGTATTTCATAGAGATACCCTGGCTTGGCAATGGACAATGGCAGCAGAATATGCTTGGTTAAATAAATTTTCCTCACTTAGAAAATGAGAAATTCGAAACATACATGCATATTTAGTTTAGATAATTTGCAAATAAATACTTGATTCTATTTCGAAAGTGTGTATATTGATAAATGCATGTATTAAGTTTTAGAGTATTCTGTTCGAGTTGTAGAAAGTTTTCAGTTGAAATGGCTTAAAGAAAGTAGAACACAATTCTCAAAATCTTGGCATGGAATCAAATCAATCCATGGTTAAGTGTGAAACTCATTATCAGTCATTGGAATTGAACCTATTATTCAACCAACAGGATTCTAGAGAAGTAGTATCTTCAGACTATACACCAAATAAATATTCACATTTCACAATAATGATTAACGTTTAATGAACATTTTTCCCTAATAGGATTATACTCCCTTTTTTTTTTTTTTTTTTTTTTCTTTCTTTCTATGCACCAGTGTACTACATTTAAGAGGAAAAAAGATAAAAGATAAATGAAGGGTTGTATATAAGGAGCTAAAAAAAAGTATTTAATGCTCAAGTAATACATTTAGGGGCCGTTTGGTTAGGGTTAATAATCAAAGGGAATCGGAATGAACTGATATCATTCCCTTTGATGTTGTTTGTTTGTCACTTTTTTGATTCCCTTTAACAAATTTTATTTTTGAGTTCACCCATTTTTAGTCTACATTGATTCCCCACCCCCCCTAGACTTTCCCATTCCCTTTCCCTAGCCACCATACCCACCACCGTTCTACTTGCCGGAACTTGCCCAACCACCTCGCCGTGGACCCAGTCACCTCGCCAGAACTCGCCGCACCCCCCCCATCTCGCCGGAGCCCGCGCACCGCCCCCACCTCTCCCCTCAAAAATACCTCCTATCCTCTCCCCGAAAAATGGGCAAATCCGCCATTGACGCAACAGGGGAGCTCCTGATCAAAATCCCAGCAACCATAGTCCACCTAATCGACAACCAACAAAGCATCGAGCTAGCATACGGCGATCTCGAAATCATCCTCCTCTGTCAAAACGACGCTGATGTTGCCGTTTTAGCAAGAATCGGAGATCAACTCCAATGGCCTTTAACAAAAGACGAAGCCACCCTCAAACTAGACGACTCTCACTACTTCTTCACACTCTCCTCCAACGACGACGTTTTGAATCGAAGATCAAAAGAATTGGAAACTCTGCTGAAAAAACTCTGATGGTGTTTTCTAGGGTTTTTGCGTGGGTGGTGGAATTTTTTCTGGGGAGGGTAGGGGTTGTGAGGGATGGGGGAGGTGCGCCGAGAGCCGAAGATTCTCGTCGACGTTGTGGCTGGGCGATGGGGTGGCTCGTGGTGGCTGGAATAGTGAAGAAAGGGGATGTGTGGTGGTGGTGGTGGTGATTCCTTTTGTATTTTGAAAACCAAACAACATAATACTTGGAAAGGGTTTCATTCCATTCTCCTACATTCCCTTTGTTAATTCCATTCCAATTCCCCTGCGCGAAACAAACGGCCCCTTAGCATTACCGAAAATCTAGCCATAGGACTTAGTATTTAATTTTTTTTAGCAACAGTAGGACTAATTCAGGGCTCCTAAGGAGCAACAACAAATCAACAGTCAGTCAAAAAAGAATTCAGACTATCCTTTGTGAAACTACAAACTAATAATTGATGATCCAGAAATATGGTTGTGAGGTATGTACAACGGTTGAATGAAAGCAATTTCATAACATATCAATACAGTTTCAAGCAGCAGGTGTACGGCTTCGCAGCATTTCAGATCTTTTACTTCTTTCCATAGCATCAACAAGCCAATCTACACTTCCCTTGATCCCTCTACTGCAAACAGAGACAAACCCCAAATGTGTTGAGTTAGTTACATACGGGCATACAAGCAATAATGCCATAATTTAGAGGGAAAAGGAAATCTCCGAGGGTATTATGAATAACACAAATATCAAACACGCAGAGGATGGAAGAAAGAAAGGAAATTGAGTCCTTTCCATAAGGAAAACACTCGACCAATATAGAAGCACAAACAGAAGAGTAGTTAACATGTGTTTTCCATCATCTGTAATTACAAGGGGATGGGAGGACCTGAAACATCAACCATAACATCAAATGCTTATGAGAAGAAGGTGTTAGAATTGGAATTTACCCATCAAATCCTGAGACAGCTTCAAACATATACAGCCTTTCATCCAGCTTTTTCAGATCCAGATAACGAGCTACTTCTTCAGCTGAAACTGCTGAAGCAAGATCCTGTTGAAAGGCAAAAGATAAAAGTCATACAATTATATTTGAGATATCAATCACACAAGGCACAGAAGGGCAAATCATTCTCTAATTAATCTCCCAACATGGGTTCTGTATCTTACAAGGACCCTATTCTTTCTAGCAACATAAATGACAGCCGTTTAGTTTCTCACCTTTAAGAAGCCTTAAGATTTTTTTTTTTTTTTTTTTTTTTTTTGGTGGGGTGGGGGAGAGGGGGGGGGGAGGAGAGTGTGAGGAGGCCTTTTTGGCTTATAGATATATAGATATATAACAAGTTCTCATTCTAATATCACTGTGTGTGTGTGTGTGTGGATGTGGTTTTGGATATAGACATCAGAGGAACCTAAGAAAAACGACAAGGGAACGTGAGACCCATCAAAAAAACAAAAGAAAATGTATGACATAAAAAGAGAGGCAACACCCCACAATGACAAAAGAACTAATGTTTGATGCATGAAAGCATAAAAAACTCAATTATATTCCTCCCAAAAAAAATCTATAGCTCCCTCAAAAAAAAATTGGGGAGCAAAACAGAAAGTCCATATATACCTGTTTGTTAGCTAATATCAGAAGGGGAGCACCTTGCAAATCCTGGTGTCGAAGTACCTTTTCTGCAAGATAATTGAATCGTCAACGGGCAATGATTTAATTTGGCATTCAAACAAATAAAGACCTAATATCGTACTAAAAAATTACCTAGTGCAGACTTAGAATCTTCAAAACGAGCTGGAGCATTTGCATCAACTACATAAATGACAGCATGGGCTTCTTCATAATATTTCTCCCATATTGAACGTAGGCCAGGCTGCCATAACAAAAGAAAATCCCAATAAAACCTAAGATTAGGCTAACAAGCTCCTCAAAGCCTTTCAAGAAAATATATATGGGGTTTGGTGGGGCAGGGGGGGGGGGAGAGTAGAATAAAGATCCTGTACAACATGGTATTGATGATTAAATGGCAATGAGGCACATCTCTAATATATCATCCTTTAGCTAACACATTTGTAAGCCATTAGAAAACTTGTATCAAAGTTCATGAAGGACCAAATTTTGTGAAGCAAGCTTGCTTAAGACCAAATTCAGCATATCTGATCATATAAGAAGCCTTTAGAGCAATTTTTGGCCATTTTGGGGATACAAAACAATAAAATGATACCTCAAGTTAGCATTTTGCCTTTTGCTTGCTTAGGATGTTTAACAGATAAAATATTACTAAAACGAAATGCCGAGTGCAGTATTGGGCATGAGCTGATCTACATACCTGGCCACCCAAGTCCCAGAACACAAGTTTTGCATTTCCAACTTCAATACGACCAATATTGAGCCCCACAGTTGGAACAATTCGATCAGGTGGAAGGCCTTCCAAGTTTAAGTATAGTTCTTTCAACTTCTCCAGTAAAGTCTGCAATATATTGTTAGCATTTGTTAATGTTATGAGCTTATGAGAAGATCTTTGATTGCATTTGCTTATACGAAGCATATGATTAATGAATAAAGATTAGCAGGAAAACTCTTTTTTTTTTTTTTTTGAACGAATTAGCTGAAAACATATAAAGTAACTGGAAATGAGAAAAATATGAGAATCTTATAGCAGGTAAAGTAAAACCAAAAACAATAAACATATCACCTGTACAAGATTGGGAGTCAAGTGAAAGCCCCAACCCATTATTCTACCCTTCCTGCCATGACTTTGCGGTTCAATATTATGTTATCAACCTTAACAGTGGACAAAGAATGTGTGCAAAGGGTCTTTGGGTAAGAGAGCAAGTTTTCTACTTTTCAAGAGAAAGAGTACAGAAAAAGATGTTGCTTTAAAATTCAATGAAAGATAGACTCCGATAACAACAGCAAGTTTTAAGCAATAACACTAGTAAATCAATAACTCAACTAGATGACCAACATCTAGAGATGATCAAAACTACATGAAGCAATGTGTTTACAAAGAAAGCACACAATAATTACAATTACAATCATAATTATATTGTGGTCCTCAATCAAATTCAAAAATTGAAAAAAATAAAATAAAATAACAGTTAAAATCTGGCAGAATGGACAATCTCATTACCGTTTTCCCAGCCTTGTCAATACCGAGAATAAGAACATGAAATTCCGTCTTGCTGAACATGTACTTCCAGAACCCATACATAAGAGAGAACATCCTTGCTGCCTTTTTTGATAATTAGCTTGCAAATCCTCTTACACTAGTAAGAGTTCGAGAAAGTGTTAATATCCATCATGTCCTTCTACACTCATGGCCTAAATACACGAAACAAAGTGAAAACTTCAAATAGATTGATTGGAAAACAAAGATTTTCCAAAAAAGAAAAGGCTATAGGAAGACAAACCACATAGGCACACTAGTAGTATACACATTTACCCATTTAGAATTAACTCTTGTTTCTGGAAGTATTTATGGCTTAAAGCTTTTCGTGAAGAATTGAAGCGCGATTTAAACTCAAGAAAAACCGATATTACCAACATACAATCATTATTCTTTTGACAAAAAAATGAATAATTTGAACTGAAAGTAAAAACCCCAAGCTTCAACAATGTGATTTGGTGGTCTCCAAAATTAACCAACCATAATTTTCTTCTCAATTTGTATCTAATAAACATCAAATTATATAATTAAAGTACCAATTTCACTACATGTATCATCATAGAGTATAATTGACACCTCAACACATCAACAAATTTCAAACAAAAACCCAATTACATTAACATTTAGCTAATTCTTCTAATTAAATAATAATCTAACGAAATGATGAAGATTGAAAGTTAACAAATCGAGTTTAAATCATAAAATCAAGTCAAAATCATACATTTCGATTATCAGATCCGAGTTTCAATCGGAAAATTTTGAGCCTAAAATCTTGGACGATAACGATAA